TGACCAGTCTTGACAAGAATTTCCTGAAAAAAACAGCTGAAAACTAGGTAGGTGGAAGAAATGGTGAGATTCCTCTGTGGAGACATGGATAGAAATAAAATACCCAAGTCCATCAGAGGTAGTTACAAAGATCCATAGCAACCATATGGTATGAATTAAAACAGTTCTCCGAAGAAATGTCCCTGCTGAATCCATTTTTCTGCCCATAATGTAGACCACTGCACTTACCGAGGTGCTGGTTTAGTCTCCTTGGGTTTTTAAAGTTTGGGTATTTTTATAGATAAAAAAATAAAACTGAAGCAGTTTTGCCTTTGCTGTCAGGACTTCTTTCCAAAGGTTATTCTCTGCCTGGACAGGAAAACAGGCCACCAAATACATGAAACCATTGGCTGTATTGCCAGGATCATTTTGCTGCATGGCTAGAGTTTACATGAAGGACACGTGTCCTTCTCCGTTGGACTTCTCCTTCCCATCTTTTAACATTCAGCCCAGGTCTGTATCCAGTAGCAGTTTATAACTGCTGTAGGTTTCATGTTAAAACTAGGACACCAAATAAGCAACTGCTGTAGCATTATCCAGGCATCCTCCTGGAGTGTTTGTTTCCTAGAATATGTTGCTCGTGTTCTGCTATTCATGTTTCAACAAGCAAAAGCTGGGAAAGGATCTTGACCATCTGGATCTTTTAGGGTAGCTGAGAGACCTCCTTATCTGAAGCTGTTCAAAACTAGTGCAAGTACTTAAAATATTAATGAAATGAGGAAAATAGGTTTTAGAAATAGGGGTTCATTTTAACTTCACTGATCTGCAAATGACAATATGCATTTGCTGACTAACTCTGCATGAGTAGACCGAGTGCATGTGTGTGCATTATGACAGGAAAAGTGAGCTGACTGATATACTGGTTCCCTTAGTCTCAGGGGTACAGAGTGTGTTCTCTCCCCTTTGTAATCTCCACAAAGTTAAGATTGCACTGCTAAAAAGTTAATGTTTTCAGTTAACTTTTTTCCTTCAATCTCTCTGTGCTTGTACCCCACCCACTAGTGATATTTAAGCACCTGGTATCCCTCACCTTTTCTGGTTGAGTCAGAAAACAAGGTTAACTATATCACATTTCAACTTTATTATAAAATTATAAACCAAACTTCTGTACCAAAACTAGTAAGTTTAACCATCATAGTACCAAGAGGATTTAATAGAGAATAACATGCCATTTCAAGTAGAATATTAAATTTTAAAATATTTAAACTATGTACAGTGTACATAAAGCACATAAATATTTCCATTTACTTTATTAGTTCAGATCATTATATTCCTTTGGATCATTAATCAGTTTCCTCCAGATTTTGATTTTTTTTTTTTTTTTCCTTAAAAACAATCATCCATAAGTAGAGAATCCCTTTTTGCAAGGGAAACACTATAGTCGGGGGGGGGGGGGAAGTCCTCTCCCTTCAGAAAGCACACTTCAGAGTCATACAGTGGGTGTATCTTCTCATTCCCAAAGTTTCAGGCATTGATCTGCAACTTGCTTTATCTGCTGTAGAAAATAAGCAAGCCCCCTACAAGTAAAAGTACATCTGTCCACAGGGGAATAATCATCTTCCTGCTAAATTCCCCCAGCCCTGAGTTTATTAAAAAATATGACAACATGGATTTTCACAGTGAATTTACTAAATGAGGCTGTTCAACACTTTGTACGTGTATTCCTGTACCTCTTGAATAGGTCCCTGTGAACCTCCTGAAGAGTAAATACAGTTACTGCTTACCTGCAAATTTTTTTTTTAACATGATGCATTGAATTGTACTGGTTCTCTTCTGATGATGGAAGCTATTAAACCTTAAGCCAAAGATTAGAGAACAACCTGAACAGGGAAGGAGGTAAAGCTCAGAATTTTTAGTTCAATAAACCTCAGCAGTTGTTGCATTTTTGTGGAGTTCAGAGACCACCTCAGTGTGGAGGTTCTGCTTCCTACTGAGTGACAGATTTCTTCATGTTAAGGGCTTTGTTGATTCCGACTTGCAGAGTAGGGACCCTCCGTGCCAGTTGAGAAGTGAGTTGCTACTCATGCAACGTTCCATGTTAAAGATTACACAAGTTTAATTTGCAGTTAATATATGTTACCACTTTTATTGCAAAAGTAGATGGCTTTGGTGGTCTGCAGATTGAAGAGGAAGGACCCATCACAGCAGGAGAGATGCCGGAGCTGAGCACTGACCTGCTGCCCACACAACAGCCAGCACAACTCGTAAACAGCAACGGGTGGTAGTGGTGGGCTTGGGCACTCTGGAGAGCCCTGCTGCTGCCAGGAGCAGCCTGAGGAGTATCCAGAAGGATTACAGAGCCCTGGGAGTGGCCGTGAGGGACACACGAGCACAGGTAGTCCTGGTCAAAGGGAAGGGGTTTGAAAGGGCCGGTTGAGTCTGGTAAATCAACAGTTGGTTGCAGGGCTGGTGCCACAGCTGAGGGTTCACCTACTTAGACCATAGGACTTGCTTTAAGAAACCCGGCCTACTGGGGGCTGCTGGGCTCTGTCCGTCAGAGAAGGGGAAGAGCATCTTCAGCCATCGGCTTGCCAGGCAGGGGAAGAGGGATTTCAGCTAAAGTTGCTGGGAGATGCCAGTGCCAGCAATAGCTGCCCAGAGCCTGGGAGGTGTCACAGGGCAGCACGAAGGAATGCCAGCCACTAAGTCAGCTTCATGAGGCCCAGCTTAACTGCCTCTATGCAAATGCATGTAACAGGGGGCATAAACAAGAGGAGCTAGAGATGTGTGTGCAGCTGCAGGGCTAGGATCTTACTGGCACCATGGGGATGTGGTGGGATGGCCCCTACAACTGGAGTGTTGGCATGGAAGGATACAGGCTCTTCAGGAAGGACAGGCAGGGGAGATGAGGTTCACAAGCTCAGGTCATGGGGGATTTCAACTACTGATACCTGTTGGAGGGACAACACAGCAGGGCACAAGCAATCCAGGAGGTTCCCAAAACACACTGATGATCATTTCCTTTTCCAAGTGATAAAAGAAGCCAATGAGGAGAGGTGCTATGCAGGACTTTGTTCTCACTAACAAGGAGGGGGAATGTGAAGCTCCAGGGCAGTCCTGGCTGCAGTGACCATGAAAAGATCCTTCAGGCAGTGAGGAGACACACAGCAAGCTCACTACCCTGGATTTCAGGAGAGCAGACTTTGGCATCTTCAGGGATCTGCTTGGCCAAGTACCATGGGATAAAGCCCTGGAGGGAAGAGGGGCCCAAGAAAGCTGGTTAATATTCAAGGATCACCTCCTCCAAGCTCAGGAGTGATGCATTTCAACAAAGAGGAGGTCTGGCAAAAACACCATGAACAAAGAGCTCCTGGACAAGCTCCAACACAACAAGGAAGCCTACGGAGGGTGGAAGCAAGGACAGGTGGCCAGGGGGGAATAGAGAGAAACTGCCCGAGCAGCCAGGGATCAGATTAGGAGAGCCAAAGCCCTGATAAAATTAAATCTGGCCAGAGATGTCAAGAGCGACAAGGAAAGCTTCTGTAAGTATGTTGGTGGTAAAGGGAAGACTAAGGAAAATGTGGACCCTCTCCAGAAGGAAAGGTGAGACCTGGTTACCTGGGACATGGAGAAGGCTGAGATACTCAACGACTGTTTTTTTTTGCCTCAGTCTTCACCAGCCAGTGCTCCAGCCCAAGGGGCAGGACCAAAGGCAAAGAGGGGACTGGGAGGATGAAGAGCCACCCACTGCAGGAGAAGAGCAGGTTCGAGACCATCTCAGGAACCTGAAGGTGCACGAGTCCATGGGACATGGTTCCTGAGGGAACTGCCGGGTGAAGTGGCTCAGCCACTGTCCATCGCATTTGAGAAGTCATGGCAGTCCAGTGAAGTTCCCACTGATGGGAAAGGGGAATATAACCCCCGTTTTTAAAAAGGGAAATAAAGAGGACCTGTGGAACTACAGGCCTGTCAGTCTCACGGAGTGGATCCTCCTGGGAACTCTGCTGGGGCACATGGAAAATAAGGAGGTGACAGGTGACAGCCAACACAGCTTGGCTAAGGGCAGATCGTGTCTGACAGCTTGGTGGCCGCGTATGACGGGGTTACAGCTCTGGTGGGTGAGGGAAGAGCAACTGATGTCATTTACCTGGACCTGTGCACAGCATCTGACACCGTCCCACAGGACATCCTTGTCTCTAAAGTGGAGAGACAGGGATTTGATGGATGGAGCAGTCGGTGGATGAGGAATTGGGTGGGTGGGTGCACTCAGAGCTCCATGTCTGAGTGGAGAGCGGCGGTTGGTGACGTTCCTCAGGGGCTGGTGCTGTTCAACATCTTTGTTGGGGACAGGGACCGTGGGATCGAGGCACCCTCAGCAAGTTCACTGACACCGAGCTGTGTGGTGCGGTGACACGCTGGAGGGAAGGGATGGGACATCCAGAGGGACCCGGACAGGCTGCAGAGGTGTGAACCTCATGAAGGCCACGGGCAAGGTCCTGCACATGGGTCAGGGCAATCCCCAGCACAAATCCAGGCTGGGTGAGGAGTGGATGGAGAGCAGCCCTGGGGGTGTTAGTGGATGGAAACTCAGCCCAGGAAGCCAACCATGTCCTGATTTTCCTAGAGCAGTGGGGCCAGCAGGGCGAGGGAGGGGATTCTCCCCCTCTGCTCTGGGATATGGACCTGCTCAAGTGGGGCCAGAGGAGGCCATGAAGATGCTCAGGGGGCTGGAGCACCCCCCTGTGAGGACAGGCTGAGAGTTGGGGGGTTCAGCTGGAGAAGAGAAGGCTCCGGGGAGACCTTAGAGCAGCTTCCCAGGGCTGAAAGGGGCTGCAGGAAAGGGGGGAGGGATTTGATCAGGGGTGTAGGGATGGGACAAGGGGTAACAGTTTTAAGCTGAAAGAGGGGAGATTCAGTTTAGATCTAAGGAAGAAATTCTTCCCTGTGCAGGTGGTGAGGCCCTGGCACAGGTTGCCCAGAGAAGCTGTGGCTGCCCCCTCCCCGGAAGGGTTCAAGGGCTTGGGGCAACCTGGGCTGGGGGAAGGTGGCCCTGCCTGGGGCAGGGGGATGGGAATTGGATGATCTTTAAGGGCCCTTCCACCCCAAACCCTTTCTGTCACTGCCCTTCCACTACCCCAGAAGCTGTAAGTGGACACTTTTTAAAATTCTGTTCCTCTGCTGACAGCCAAGCAGCAATTCAGTTTGAACACACTCCCACCTTAAAGCAGAATACTAGACAGGAAAAAATCTGCAGCAGAAGGTAATGAACTTCAGAAATTACTTGAAATGTGTGTTCATCCACAGTGGCTGAAAACTTAAGGCATCAAGCTTCTGAAACTTAGCTGTGTTACCAGCCAGACAGACTGAATGCTCACAGGCTGCTGAGGGAAAAATATGCCAGTTACAATTTTCTCTAGCAAGGCTTCCAAATGAACACGCTGTTGGTGGGGATAGCTATAAGGGCTTGCTGTTGTCACATAGGAGACTACAGAATCTCCTACCCCCCTCACAAGCAGAAAGTACAAAAAAGGAGCCTGAATGTAACAGGACTGTAAAATTGAGCAAAGGGGAGGATAGGGGGAAGCTGATGAGAAAACAGGAGCATCTGCAGTGATGATCACTCATCAGCTAAAATTTGGGGTTTTTCCTATCTTCCCTCTAAAAAGAAAGTCATTTGTACTTAAATACGATTGTGTAGCAATGGAATCCTTACTGTTTAGCTGTTTTCCTCACTAAACCCTTTAAAAGAGTCAATCCTTAGATTTCATAGCTCCTTAGCCAAGTGAGGTCAGTTCAGTTTTAAAACCATTGCTGGCATATACTGTAAGGAAGCCTGTAAAGTCAAAGGAATCAACAACAGTCAAACAAGGAATCTCCTCCTCACTGGCATGTAAACAGAAAACCACCACCACACAAGGTAAGGCTGCATGTTTCACAGTCTCCCTCCCCTTACATTTTTCAATAAGACAAAGTCCATCTTCAAATAAAATTATACATTTTTCCACAATTGCACTAGGCTAGAATTATGCTTATGTTGGAGGCCGTCTGCCTGTCCTGCAAGCATAAGAATTTAACATTAAATTTGAAAAAAAACAAACTAGAAAATTAACAAGCACAGTAAAATTTTAATCTTTGAAAATAAAGTTGTTGCTGGGTGTATAGCCTAAGCAGTAAAACAAATGTCACTTTTTGAGACCCTAGTCCACTTCTGCATACTAATTCAGGGGAAAATATGAAGCCTCTGAACCTGATGTTTGTGATGGAAAGCCAAGCATCCCTCTGTCCCAACACCAGCGGATCAAGTTATTCTAGAACGCAGGTTGTTAACGATTGCAGTGTCTGCTGCTGGCAACGAGCTCCAAGGAGTCCAGGCACTGTGGTGTAAAGCACGAGAGCGGGAAGAGCACAGCCAGGTGGGGCTTGAGCAGGAGTGACTTTCCCCAGGCTTCATCCTTCCCTCACTTCCAGCTTCCGATGGGGTCTCCAGGCTAATCTCTCACCTACCTATCTGTAGCAACTTTGACCGTTTCTCTAACAGCAGAAGAGGCTTTAAGGCATCACCAGTCTTCCTTAAACACCCTTAGGACTTAAAGACGTGGACAGCCCTGATGACGTACTGCCTGCATATCGGGCACTCGCTCATCCGCTTCCCACACTTGGTGCACGTGACCATGTGGCCGCACTCGAGCAGGACACAGTCAATGGGTGCGTCCATGCAGATTTTGCAGAGGTTGTCCTCCGTGCCAGGGAGCCCAGCACCACCTGAGTAAAAGAGAGACCACGGGCTGAATGAGACAAAGGTAAGGCAGTTTTGTGCAATCTGGGAGTTGACTTTATCAAAGGGCTTCCCTAACGTACTTTTGCATGATCTGAAAAAAAAAAAATTTCCCCTTTCACATCCACTAATGTGGATATATCTGCTCCATCAACTGGAAACGAGCAGAAAGTTTTAGCTTTTATATAGTAAATTCTGTGTGATGAAAACAGATACGACAGCTATCCTTGGCAATGAGGCAAATGAAGCAACATGGGTCTCTTTTTCCCAAGTAACAAGTGATAGGACAGGAGGAAACAACCTCCAGTTGCACCAGGGGGTTTCGATAGATTGGACACTAGGGAAAAATTCTTCACTGGAAGGGTTGTGAAGCTTTGGAACAGGCTGCTCAGGGAAGTGGTGGAGTCACCACCCCTGGAGTGTAGGTGCACAGTTTAGTGGCCTTGGCAGTGTTGGGTTTATGGTTGGACTCTGATCTTGAGGGTCTTTTCTAACCTAAACGATTCTGTGATTTACCAGTAATGTTACTTACCACTTTGATCATCAGTGTCAGCAACTGCAACATAAGAAGAAAAAGTTATTTGGTGAGAATAAGATAATCTGGAGAAAAATTCACTCAAGCAGTATTATTAGGAAGGAGCTGAAAGCCTTGAAGGGAGATTACTAAACCAAAACTGCTCTTTGCTGACCCCTATGCAGGGGTTCAAGCCGAATCTCTGATCAGGGTAGGTTGTTCAACTGGCAAGAAACTTTCTTTTTTACTGAGCTTACACAATACCTAACGTTTCACAAAGATAAGCAACTAAGTGATGTCTCAATTTTTAAGACAGCCTTAGAATTTATGCCATGTTTGGCTTCCTAGCACTACACTTCCAGTAGCCCCTTGAGCCAATTTCCTTGGTGTCACACAATCACCAATATTGTTGGACACAGCTGAGACACACACGGGCAACAGCGAGTAAGAACAGGATAAATTCTGTCAAAAGCACAAAAGAATTTCAAACCAAAGCTGTTGTTATCAATCTTTTATTATTCATAGAGGACAAAGCCTAGAGAAATCTGTTTAAGAAAACAACACTACTCTGGACAACACTGGGAAACAAACCTGTCTATGAAATCAAAGTGTTAAAATATGTTTCTCTTGTAAATAATTTATGTCTTTAATCACTGAGAGTTGTGAACTGGCACCGGAAAGACAGGCCAGATACATTCTCTGTGCATCTCTATCACACCACTATCCTTTATCAGTCAACTGTGCAGGCCCAGCAAGAGCAGGCAGTGCACAGCTGAACGCTCTTGTGATCAATAGGACAGGGGCAAACCCCAGAAAACCACAACTGTTCAGTGGTGGGAGCCACTGTCACTGAGCACATGCCCACTCTGAACTGCCCAGATGCTTTTTGGGGGCATTTTCCTGCTCGCTCTTCCAGTTACCATAAGTCAAGAGGTAAGACTACCCCAGCACTTACAGTCATCCCTCTACAGTCACACATCAGCTGGTATGTGTGTGACAGTGCCCAGTGCCAGCAGCCACAGCTATAGAGTCCCAAGGTGAAGGGCACACGGTTCTCATTTGTTGCTACTGCAGGGAGGTCACTCTCCAGAGCCACCATAATGGTCTCCTCTTAAGTACAAGTGCTGAACAGTTTAGCTACTTTAATGTTCATAACAATCCCTTCCTTTCTCCTCACTTGCACAAACCAGAAATGTAAGTTCTATTTCCTTCTGCAACTGTCCATAAAAGGGAAAAACTTGAAACACAAGCACATGTTTGCTAAGTTTCCTACCTAGATGTTGAAGGTCTTTCTCTTTATAAAGACGAGTCACCCTTTCTAGCAGCTCCCACTTTTCACAGCAGCCTTTGTAGTTGACAAAGTTGCGAGCAAGAATTTCCTTCAGCTGTCGCACAGAGAGCGCATTGATGTCTCCGATGCTTGTCAGATCAGAAAGAGAAGCCTTCCTCCCCTGCACCAGGTTATCTTCTGAGTCAGTAGACTGAAAGGGAACAAAGATGGAATGATTCTTGTCCTCACAATTTAAACCAACTTTCAACATGTTACAGCAGGAATTCATGTTTGGATGTAAGTAATTGGTTATTCTGTGAATTCCTCCATCTATCAGAAACACAAGTCCTAAGATGGAAATAAATAATTTCTATTCTTATAGTGTCCAAGTGACACCAGTTCTTTCTATGTGTGGAGGACAAGATGATGCCAAAGAAAGGGTTTGATTGGGTCTGCCGGTGGTCAGTCTGAATTACCGTTTAGCCACCCATCTCTGCAGTAATGATTCTGTCGTAGCAAATACAGCCTAGAAAACCTGGTATCCCTTGTCATCTGATGCCAGGACACACAAACCTGCGTCTCCTCCTCTGTTGGTGCTTCTGCTGCATTCTCAAGTCCTGTCATACCGACTTGGCTCGGAGGCACGTAACCATTTGCCTGGAAGAGGAAATAAAGCTTTCACCAACAGCACATCTGTGTGTGTCCAAAGGGAAATAGGCTCGATCATTCAGCGTAACAACAAGCCCTGTCCACTGGAAGGATGAAATGCAGCAAAGGCAAAAGCAAGGCACACTTGCAGAGGTGTTTTCTGTGCAGCACTTATAAAACCAAACTTTAACCAAGTGAAAGTTTTTGACACTGAAGTGCAGCATCTGACCCTTTAAAGCCCCACTTTAATTAAACCCCAATAGAGTATTTGCACAAGAAGATCCCACATGATGTTCCTGTGAGGCTGCATCAGGAGACCAAATTTATTCAGGTATACACGTGTATGTATACACAATCCTTCACTGAAGTGTTGCAGTGTGACGTGGTGGGGTATCGCAGCTCGGATGCACATCAGCTCTTGGTGCAAGGCTCTGGATGACTCCTCTGTAACACAGCTCAAAGTCTACAGGTCATCTTCAAATTAACCATTCAGAAACACCTCAGGTGGGTTCTGGACTGGACAAACAGGAGATACCAACTGAAGGACCAGCAGCAACAAAGCTGGAGAATGAGAAGGGGCAGTTGCATTGAGCACTTAATAAAATGAAAGGAACTGCAGCGTAATTCTAGCTGACTTGCCCTCAGCAGCTCTCATCCCCCTCTGTTTTCCCTCATGACAAAGGAGACTGTAATGTTACCATCCTACTTATCTAAGTGGCGCCTTGTTAATATTTACAAAGCAAAAGAGTAACAATAATGATGAAAGGGCATGAACTGTAGCAGGATGTCATCATGCAGGCAGAGACAAGAAGCTGACATGTATCATGGGGCAGTAAGGGAAGACAACAAAGCTGAATTTGCTGGTAAAAACTGGAATGGCAATATCCAGAAAAACAGAAAATGAAAAGGCCTTTTAATGATTTGGAAAAAATGTCCTCCCAGAAAAAAACTCTTCTTTTATATGTAGCTGCATTTGCTGAGGAAGCAGAAGGTATGTACGCTTTCACAGCTCTGTCCACAGGGAACTAAATACACCTATTAACTTCATAACAGGACTAGGAGCAGATGTCAAACATTGAGTAAACACCCCGTACCAGATAGCAGAAAGACAAACAAAGCAAAGTCAATAAAAAATAATTAAGCTCAAATGCCCCTGACAAGGTTCATCAAGACTGCAGGTTCACCATGAACTGAAGGTTTAACAACAGACACAGGTTTTGTCTTCTGTTGGTCTGGGCGCAGACAGATGACACCAAAAACCTCACCCACCTCAGAGTCATCTTTCTCATCACTTTCAGTTCCAAAATTGCTTTAAATGGTGCTTGCTGTCTTGCACAGGAATTAAGTAACAGTAATAACCATTTCATCTAACACCTACCTACAATTGTCAGAAAGTTGTCGTCATCAACACACAGGATAGACCTGTGCATCAACCAGGCATCAGTACCAGAGGAACCAGTCACAGGAGCATCTAGTGGCAAGGGCAGGTGTGGACCAGAGCAAACACATCTCCAAACAGTCACGCTGTTCTCAGAGTGAACTTTCAATATATTCCACACTGCCCACCCAATTAAATTACACAAGTTTAGAAAGGGAATAGCACATCAAAGTTGCTGATAGCAAGTCACAGTTTTACACAGCAAGGCAGTGTAAAATAACTCATCTTACTTTCCTAATTATTCTGTAGGAAAGTGTGATGGCCTCACTTCAAAATTAAAAACAAACCTGAGAAGAGCATGTATAAAATGCAACTGAAGTATTCTGTCATGTGTTCTAAACAGAAGCCCTCTTTGCTTTTTAGGCAGGGATATTTAACGTAAAACATTTTTGGCACATCATCTACTTGGAAAACCTCATGCGATATCTTAGCAGTTAATCCAAAAATAGAGAGAAATGAGTTTGCAAAAGATGCTCCTGGCTAGAGACTGTACCTGTTGATGTTCCTGAGCTAGTGAACTTGAGATGGGATCTGCAGACACCGGAGACACATCACGTGAGGTAGAAGATGCTATGCTGGTTGGTGGGAGAATCACAAAGTCTTGCTGTCCAGAGGCACTAGTATGAAATGGATTTGTTCTTATCTGCTCTTCCTGGGTAATTACAGGCTGCTGGCCAAGAATCAGAAATACCAGGTCCTCCTTTTCACGACACAACTCTGTGGAAATCTCACGGAGTGCCAAATAGTCTCGCAGATCCTTCACCTTCATCTTTATCAACTCTTCCCGCTGAAAAGCTGTGGCTCGGAAACGCAGGCAGAGATGGCAGAGAAGAGGACCACCTTCAGGCTGGTTTGAGCAGGACGTACAAAAATTCTTCTTACAGTCCAAACAGATGTGCTGGTAAAGAGAAGGGAACAGAATCAATCCGAGCCACCGTGACCTGCGACTGAGGTGCACAACGACCGCGGGCAGCACTCCCCTACCATCTGCAAGCCAAAGTAAGTAGTAGCCTCTGTTAAAGCATAATCAAAACTTTCTAGTCCATGACAAAGTGCCAAGTATGTTACTTATGTTCGAGATGATGAAAAGGATTGATCCCATTCCTCACAGTTCTTAGACAAGCACTATCTTCACTCCATTTACCCAGAATGGAACACTATATTCTCAGACAGTTCCTTCAAGTGACAGGAGTTTTCTGCAGCTTATTCCAGACCTGTTCATCCAGTTTAAACCACAGATGGAATCAGAAGATAGCGATGGGGCAGCAGATGTTCAAATAAACTACAGGTAGTTGCACTCTGCTTTATGAAACAATGAAATACTGCTCCATGCATTAAGGAAGCTCTAACGTTGGAGGGAACTACTTAAAAACATTTCTCTAGTTTGCAGATTTAATACTTGCTATGAGTGACCTCCCACTACCCCCTTTTCTTTCTCCAATTTGCTGTAATCACTAAATGAATCTTTTTTTCACCGTAAGAGGAAAAGGAAACAGAAAGTCTTAGAGTGTCTGACAGACATCAAAGAATTCAACATTTATTTATGCAAAAGAAAAAGCCGGCTTATTTTGAAAATAATACGCACACTGTGTGCCATTTAGGTGCTAGACAGAAAGTGCTGAAGTTCTGGAAATATTAGGCCCCAAATGTTTAAAAACTTTATAAATTAAATTCTGCTGTTTAATGTTTATATTTTATACTGTTCTGCTCTCATCACTCAGGGCTTGATTTTCAGAAGTTCCAAACACTCACAGTCCACGTTGACTTCTGCAGAAACTTGACTGTTTCGACACTTCGGAAAGTCAAATTCTACATTTTCCAATAGGAACAGCAGCAGAACAGCCACGCTACATGCCTTTTAAAAGGTCCCAAAGGAAGAAAGAACTGTTTTCAGTGCTGGTTAAAAATGCTAATTTGCAGCCTCAGAGAAGACAAGTATCTTTATGAAATCCTGACATCCTGACCCTTCAGAGCTATGCAAGGAAAAATACACGTGCAGAGCTGGAGAAGCAACCAACTCAGAGACAAAAAAAATTGTTTAATGAATTGCTTCTAGTGATTAAAGAACATTTTTAACTTCACAGTTCAAAGAAAGCGGATGTTTCTCACGTTTTAAAAGGTGTGAATACACTACTTGCTTACATAAGCTCCTTCTGATCCCCTTTACAGCCTGGCAGCTCCCTTGTCCCACACACTCCCTCACAATTATACCCGACAGACTTCTCATTTAGACTCTGTAATAGACTTTAAATGACAGTTAGTGGAAAGAATCCCAATTTCCTGCCTAAGCATTTTAAGACACGAAAATTTCTACCACAGAGAGAATCTCTGGTCACACAAACTTGAAACCTCATCTTAAAATTGCCCTTTGAGGACCTGCCAAGTAAAAGTGACTTTCATCAATCACAAAGCAAGACGGGAAGGGCAATTTCCACATTCCATCCAGTTTTGAGAAGTTTTCCTTAACTTGGTCATTATAAAAAACATTAGGTTTTTTGACCCTACAACTGAAGGAGCAATCCAGTTCCTTGGGAAATTTTCAAGGCAGAGATAGGAACTACTGGTGGTGCATGTGTCTAAAGCAGGGGAACAAACACTCCACAAAGGCAGAGAGATGGAAAGCAACCCTGTTGACACTTTCCCTCTATCACCCATCGCTGACAGGGGAGCAATCACAAGAACTGAGAGGGAAAAAAAAAAAAAATCCAGAAAACAACCCACCCTGCTTTACTCTGGCAGGGAGAAGCCTCCCATGTGCTCTGCAGACTGCCAAACCAGCTCCAAAAGCAACCACTGTACAGCCAAGGACCTTCCAGCCAGGAAACACCTCCTGGAGTACTGACATGTTTAGGTATCACATAAGTGAGCACAAGGGCTGCATTATCCAACAGGTTTTTTGCAAGCGATTAACAGTAATAACACAAGCCCGCCTTAATTATCAAATGATACATTTGAGAAGTGAAAATAAAACCAGGCATGTCTCCAACTTATCAAATCACCACTAAGACTCATCTTCGGAGAAAAAAAAGATTCCCCAACCTGTATCTGAGCATCAAGTATTTAACATGCACAGAAGCCATTTGCCACATCTCAGTATTAGCCAGCTTTTTTTGTTGAACTCTGAGTGAAAGGGCAATGATTGAAGACACTGGTCTCTTCAGAACAATTAATTTCAAGTGCTGTTGTAAATAAAACCTGTTATTAAAAGGTCAGACCGCTTCTGAATGATGCTTGCTAACTGGTAGCATAATCACAGGACGGTCAAACAGAACACTTTAAATCAGAAGACTGTCCAGAATGGAGGCTGCTCCTGGTTGTTTGCTCTAACAGCCAGTCTCCCAGAGATACCAGGATGGGGTTCTGATACACTTGGCTCTTCTCTCTGTGCAGGATAAAATGAAGAAATGCCAACATTCAAGCTTTCACTACGGCCACTGTTATTCAGGGTTGGGTTGTTTGGTTTTTTTTTTAATCTTACAGAAAAAGCTCCTGGCAAGATTGAGTGTAAGTATGCAAAGAAAAGCATCTTCCTGAAAATGTCAGCCAATTTAAGGCACTGAAATCAGAAAACAGGGGAGGAAGCAATAACAATCTGACATACCCACCAAGAAAGCCCGCCATATCCTTCTATGAGCACAGAGGGAAATGAAGAATGCTTGCTTTAAATTTAAAAAAAATTTGTGGAATCATTTTGCTGCAGAAAACCAAGATCAAAGAGTCATCTAAGAGAAGGAAAATACAAAAAACCTCAGATTTTTTCCTACCATGATTAAATTTTATATCCTTTAAAGATGCTTCAACGGTTACTTAAAAGCACGTTATAAGAACATGCTCCATTTAAATGCCCCCTACCCCAATCCTTTCACTGGTTGCCATGTTATATGAATGTTAAAATATGATTATGATAAAAGATCAAGTACTTAAGACACCATCATTCTGCTTTGGGGTTGATTGGTTTGTTTGTTTGTTGGGGTTGATTTTTTTTTTTCCAAAGCAATCTAGATTATCCTTACGGTCACCCACATGGAAGGAATTAATTTTTTTCCATTGTATTTCAGTATAAACATTAACTGGACACTAGAGTTCAAAGGTACTGCCTCTCCTGGGAGAGAATGCAGAGTTTTCCATGCTCTCATTGCAGGAAAGTGAGATTTCGTATGCTTCTTGGTCCATATCAACAGAGTTAAAGAATTAACATGGCTTACAAACATGTCTGTGTTTTATAAGTTACATATTCAGCTCTCTCCTGGAGACCAAGGCCTGATGGATGAGCTCTAGCAGCCCTTCCTATAGCTGTTTAAGCCTTGCCACTTGTAGCCATCGAGCTCACTCCAGCACCAGAGATTGCTGCTTAGTAGCCGTGGTGGCAGAAGGAAAGTGGAAGGAAGGCTTAGGAGCCCCCTTCACAATATAGAATATAAACCTCAAACTCATTTTCATGAATAATCTGCACTGAATGGGAGGAGCTGAGACAAGCACACACTGTACTCTGCTGCCCCAGTTACACTGAGCACCAGCTCCAGGAGGAAAACAGGGAAGTCTGCTGGGGGCAGAAATGTCTTAAACTGCTTCAGCAGATCCTCTACACAACCTGATTTGCACACCAGAGCTTTACCCAGCCCAAACTGGTCAGCACGTTTTCATGTATCTGGAACAGTACTGATGACTTGCACAAGAGACTACTTTAAAGACAGCTTGTAGTAGAACGTATGTTTTAGAAGGTACCAGGACAAATGAGACCATGGCTCTAGCACTGCTACTCTACAATCTGCATGAATTGTTTTCATTTCAAGAGCAGAATCCTCTCCATCCACTATCTGCTACTATGCAGAAGAGTAAGCACTGGATTCGGAAGAATTCCTTCCACAAGTGTTCATGAAGACACATCACATTAATGAGGACGATGTTAATGACAACACTATGTGGAGTCACGTGCAGGGACTGCACCGTTCCCACCTGACTCTGAATCTGCCCATTGTCAGAAAAAGTCCAAGCATACTTACATACTCAAATTATGTTAACATACACACCCAATCCCAAAATATATTACCAAAACTTAAATTCGTAGTGATTTCTGGAGTAATAACACTTCTCAGTGCAAAAATGCATAAACATCCCTGTTGTTCTGTGAGTAGAAAGCAACAGTGCTGCCAAGACTTAGTGTTTTCTCAGATATGTGCCACATACATGAATAAAAAGGTGCAAGAAAGACTGATTTATTAATATCCCCATCTAATCTAAAACAGCTGTGGCCAAAATTCACTGTAGTTTTTAAGTTCTCACATTATTGAGTTCAGTAACATGCTATATATAAGCCACTTCTTAAGCCACAGAGTTTGGACTCTGAACAACTTTCCTCACTAATCACTTTTCAAGCAGCATTATAGGAACCACCATGCTCAAATAATCTCCCAGACAGGGCTTGCTGTCTAATTTAAAAAAGTCTCGTGGCAACAATTATTTTGGCATCTATACGCTCACAAACAAAGTTTACAAACAAGATAGAATGGATTTGGCTTTTTAGCCATGGCTTTTTAGTTTGAGCAGCAATAGTTTGGAAAAGAGATACACAGATCTTCCTTTACTGAAAGCACAAACAGATTACTAAATTTCGTCACAATTTTTTTTTTTTTTAAAGGGAATGTTTTTAACAAATTAAAAAACTCATGCTTAAGTTAATGCCCCTTTAAATGATTATAAGCACTTTGGCTTTCTCCTTTCAGTGCCTGGGAAAGCCAAGTCTACTGAAGGTTAACTACCACATTTCTAGTCATCTTTAGCTCTGTCTCCTAATTGCAAAAGAATAACTAAAGACTCAGAAGCAAAGGCAAGCTGTCGTTTCCCATATGGTATGTCCTCAAATCAGAGGCCTCTCCTGTGCACCCGTTTCTCTTCCAAGTGGCTCTCTGCAACGAAATGGAAGCCTGATGGCATACTGCCAGAGAAGATGTTTGCAACTCACCTTCCTAGAGGAGTTCTCGAAGTGCACCCCACACGCCTTGCAGCTCTGTTCAGAAGCAGTGGGAGACGGGTAGGAGCTGTACCCGGGGTTGGAATAGGCTTGGGCTCTGGCTCCCTGCTGTGGCTGTGGCTGCATCTCTTCAGGTGAGCCATCCAGACAAAACCAATTACAACAGCTTGCCCACATAGTAACTGAAAGTGGAAAAGATACACATTAGAAATGACATGGGAAACAATCTGGCTGCTAAAGTGAGAACAAAGCATAAAATGCATATTTATATTTCCCACCATCCATTCATTTTTGACACTGTAAGTTTTCATCTTTCATCTTTTTTTTTTTTTTACCAAAATCACACGTCCAGTCCAGCATGGTACATGTTTGATGAGAAAGGAAAAATAAAGTTCAGGATAGTTATTACTGGAATTTCTTAGAGTTAAGATACTACAGTGAAGAGAAGATAAAATTTATGTTCCAGTTGGCTGTATGAGACTCTATGATCAAGTTTGCTGTAACAGGCTGTCTGTATTCCATGTAAGCCCTAATACAATAATACTGACTTTGGGTTTTGTGCATTGGGAAAAACAAACAGAAGCTCAAATTATGTCTCACACATTATTTAAATAAAATCAGCAGCAAGATCATAGATGGGTTTTCTTCAATTTTATTCTAAATCTCTCTACAGATTTACAGCTACAAACCTAAAAAGATGAAAGACAAGGACAGTGGAGCCACTGATTTAACAGTTCTCCACTGAACCTGCTGCATTACCAGGCTAAATCATCACAGAGCACATAAATGTCAGTAACATAAGAAAGATCAAGTACCAGCTTCTGGTAACTTACTCTGGAAGACAATTGCATCTGAGACACAATCACTTGTTGGGGCGTTGGGTTGTTTTGGGTTTTTTTTTCAGGTCAAATAATGAGAGAGGGAGACACACACACACTCTTACCTAAAATCCTAACAGTCCAGTGCAAAATGCATAGTTTTGGAGTCTTCCAAGACCACCCATGCAGCAGTATTCCAGAAATACACTGCTGTAAACTTGCTTTTGGGAGTTTACAAAGAAATCTGAATTCATCTGGGCATTCAGTTTCTAGAGCATACACCATGTGTCATCACTTACTGGTAAACAGACTACAAATTGCCTCCTCTGCATTTCTGCATTCACACTGTAGTTCCCGGACTATGTTTCTTTTAGGTCTTAAAAATCCACTGATAGCGTTCAGAAACTGCTACATTTTATAAACTTCTTGAAATAAAAACATCTCTCAGCTATACAGCCAACTCATTTCTTTCATCACTGTAAAATTCCAGATTCCCAAGGGAAAGGGGCTGGTATGAGTCCTAAAGGTTATTTGATATAATATAGAACCTTGATAAATAGAACCTACTGTTCTATTGATTTTTTAATTTCTTTTTTAAGATGTGTTAAGTCTTCTGGGTTGCTGTACTTGAACTGGGAAGCTTTTGCTGTTTGGTGCTGTTCCAGCGTCTGTAGCTTTAGTGGCATCTCTAATCCTTTCAAAAATCTAACTGAATTTGGCTCATCAAAGTTACTGCTGTCGCTGCAGTGGACATATGCCTTTCAAAATCCACAATGGTGAGCTTACCAAACCCTGCAGGCTCAGCAGATTTTAATGTTTAAGTGAAAATCTACAGATTCATGACATGATAAACAATTCTTAGTGTGACTGATGGGCACAATGCTGTAAATTGCACTTAGCCTGGCAACTAGATCTCAATAAATACATGGAGAGATGTGTTCCATGAACAGAAATAACACATCATCCATTGTATTAATTCTGCACTGCAATCAAAACACTTTAGATATCATACATAAAAGAAACTACTCTTCTTCTTTCTGCACATTAATTTTCAAGCTATTAATCCCACTCAGAAGTTAACACATCCTTTCTATTGCAAAAATAATGAATTTATTTTAAACTGTGCTGTTTGGAGGTTTAATTTGTTCCTAGGAATTGCAAATCTAAACAACATGAAAGCTGCACAGTCAAACAAGTATTCACAACCTCCACAGCAGTGGGAAACTGCGTCCATAGTTCAGTTCCCTTCCTGTTTCAAGGACCCCTGCAAACTGGAGGCCACCCACGATAACAGAATACACAAACGCTACTGCCTGACCCAAAAACTTTGTTTTCCTAAAAAAAAAAAACGACAGCCTACTAATTCACTCTGGAACATTGCAACATGTCAAACATTGGGAAGGAAAACAGAGGGGAGTGCACAAACCAGGATAAAGTAAGACAGACCTCAACATTCAGCTGGAGTAGTAGTTTTGTGTAATTGCCAGGAAAACGAAAAGGTTGACAAAAGGCTCAGATGTTGTTTTAGAAGAACCTTAATCCTGCACAACTACAGAAGCATGGAAGGGAAATGTCCATAAACAGCTAGTAACCAGGACTATCCTCTGATCTGCAACATTTTTGCCAAGATAGCTCTTATCTTTAAGAGAAAGGAGCACATGGAAACACGACAGCCATCTCTACCACACAGGCACACTACTTCAGCCCGTACCAGTGTACGTCAGGTTTTAATTGCTTAAGGATCTCTAGGTACAGGCGCAAGTTTAAGTTAGGGCTTGTGCACATCCAGCCTCTACACTGACAAAGATGCTTCACTGAAAACTGCTCCATGCTGGCGGCTGGCAGTCACACAGGAACGGACAGCTCTCACTTCACTGCCAGCATTTCAGGAGGCTGGTGGGCTCCTGCTGAGCACGTTCTTTGCACTGTGAACAGGCATCCCACGCTGCTTTTGTGCCAGAGACAGCTCTTCCACAAAGCAGGATTCTCCTCCAGGCACACCAAGAGACACCCACCAGCCAGCAACCATGGTCTCACCCCGCGGCGCCCAGGTCGGGGACAGCACCTGGGCGAGGCCCCAGCCTGCTCCAGCTGCGGCTTAGTCTGCTCCAAGTGCAAGAACAGGAGCTCACAAATGTTTCCACCTCTGCCCATACACAGCCATCACGCTCTGCATTGCAGTCAACGTCACCCTGATCAATTTTGTGGGTATCTGCTACCATTTCCAAACTCCCAGGAGACCATAACGGCTGAAAAGCAAGAATTATGCTGTTGATAGCTGGAACACGCAGGGGATGCTACATGGGAACTTAAAATACTGCCACCCGTTAGGCAAAGCTTTGCTAACTGTCAGCTGTATGACCAAGCAGATATGACTGAGGCTTAAGATGTTAAAAAGTCTCTGTAGCCGCCCACAGCTGCACTAAGACAGCAACAAGAAACACAGGTAAGATTCAGCAGCTCCTTCAAGAGGGATTTTCCTTTGTTCTGTACAGGATCAGTTTTAGACCTGAGAAAATAAGCACTGCCAGTGGGAGAGGAATGGCAGCAGCAAGCATAAATGACACAGTGAATTTTCAGGATAGCAATTCCCTAGATACCTCTACAATGTTTGTGACAGTCTAATTATTTCCTTAATTATTTTGTTAGCCATTCAGAGGTACGTAGTCAGCACCATACAGAAAATGATAATTTCCATGAGCAATGTTTTGACAAATGGGTGGTTGTTACAGATGTGGCAGAGTTTGAGCATCATAACTAGCAAGCCCTGTGTAAAGCTTGTCAATCCCTTGCAGATGAAGGGCTGTTCTGCATGTAAGGAACTCCACAGTTACACTGAGGTGACAAATAAAAGCCCAGCCAAAAAAATTTACCGGCGGAAAGCATTACTTCTTCATTGTGCTCCAGGGCTTGGTAAACACGTCTTGGTAATTAGTCAGTAACCTGACTAGTATTAACATGTTGGTTTGGAAAAGTTAAGGACACCATAGATCTCAGGAGTTCTCAAGCAATTTATTGAATAAAAGATGCTGACTTACTGCCATGACTGTATGGCAGGCACTCAACAGAAGACTTCTGGCAGCTAAAAAGTACCTGCCCTAAATCATAACTGCATGTTGTGCCTGGAGCATCTGCGGGAGCAAAGGGAGAAGGAGCTTCACCAAGGGTGGAGACGCAAGATCAAACAGTCTATCCTGGACCTGCAAACACATTCACCCACATGGCAATGATCACGCTGGGCTTGTTTTGGGGAAGGGGGATTGTTTTATCTTCTTTCTTGAGTCTCTTTAAGGAAAAGCCAGAAGAAATCCAGTAAATACTGGATGAGGTAGGGAGTTGCTTGCCATGGTCTGTCAGCAAAGCAGTGCTGGCACTACATGCTCTGCTGGACTGCCTTTTTTTTTTTTCCCCAGTATGAAGCTGTGAATGCCGTGACTCTCTTCACCAATTTTAAATAGGGGAGTGAAATTCATTTCACCACCTGTTTATCAACATGTTCTATACATCACCATGAGTTTTGTATAAATTTGCAAGCATAATTTAATTCCAGCGGAACTACCAGTGATGGCAAAGTTTTCTTCCCATACACTGTTGAAGACAGCATTCATAATGCAAGCCTGGATTTTTATACTTTCCATCTTCATTAAAAACGAAGTGTTTGAACTCAGGTTCTCACTATATGTGCAATATTGATGTTATAACCTTGCTGCCTGGAGTATCAGAGATCACTGTCTACATACAGGATTTATTACACATGCTTTGTGCATTTCCATTAAAGGGTGGGCTTTGGCTGTATAGGAAAACTGTGGTTTGCATTTGAATATAAAATTTCCCTTTATTTTCTTAAGAGTGTAAACAATAAGGGACTAGAACCAGCAAAAGGAACATCTCTCAGAATCACTGAGCTTTTGGCTGTGTATAATAAAAGCTCTCAATGACTGTGTCTGGCTTCTTCTCATGACTGCTCACGACTTTGGGGGCTGGAATGCAGTAGCACCAACAAGACGCTTGAGTTAAGGGATCAAAAGGAACTGAGCTCCCACAGGCAGCTGATTTTGCTCCCACATGAGAAGAAGCTGCAACAAGTAGTCCTCCTCCTCCTCAGAGGCCTTCAGCCACTGGAACACCAGGGCTGATGACCCTCAAGGCTACTGAAAACGGAGGTGAGTTCCAAAAAGGGAGGGAGATGCAAGACAAACAGCAGCTTTGCTAGGGCATGCTTTCCTACAACAGTGTTTGCTCATTAGTTCTATCAACTGCCCTTGCATCTCCTAAGTTAGAGGAAGACTCTCCTCAACACAATGAGCTGCTTTTCTGTTAGCTCCCTGAACCATCAAGCTCCTCTTTCCATCTCATTTATCGAG